CCCCGCTCCTGTGCCAGGTAAGTCCACTACGGACTCACCATAGCCCGTGCTACTTGCCCCGCTCTTGTGCCAGGTAAGTCCACTACGGACTCACCATAGCCCGTGCTACTTGCCCCGCTCCTGTGCCAGGTAAGTTACGGGCTCACCATAGCCCGTGCTACTTGCCCCGCTCCTGTGCCAGGTAAGTCCACTACGGACTCACCATAGCCCGTGCTACTTGCCCCGCTCTTGTGCCAGGTAAGTCCACTACGGGCTCACCATAGCCCGTGCTACTTGCCCCGCTCTTGTGCCAGGTAAGTCCACTACGGGCTCACCACAGCCCGTGCTACTTGCCCCGCTCCTGTGCCAGGTAAGTCCACTACGGACTCACCATAGCCCGTGCTACTTGTCCCGCTCTTGTGCCAGGTAAGTCCACTACGGGCTCACCATAGCCCGTGCTACTTGCCCCGCTCTTGTGCCAGGTAAGTCCACTACGGGATCACCATAGCCCGTGCTACTTGGAGCGTTTTGTTCCCAGTAGCTGAATCTTAAACAACAACAGCAAACCTCCGAGCCTGGCTTGGGCCACACCAAGCCAGGCCGGACAAACGCATGCAGCTTAGAAACAAAAACTCACATCCATACAAAAACACGCTCACGGACCCTCACACACACGTAGGGTTCAGGGGTTCGAGTCTGCTAGAACCCCAGGAGAAGGGAGAGCCGCGTCGATACGTCTAGGGAAGGGAAATATCGGGAGAAAGCGCCAAGCCATTAGGACTATATAGCACTGGGAAGAGGTCAGGATAAGGATTTGGGATGGGACGGAGGATGGGGGGGGGGGAAGGAATGGTGTCACTTGGACGGTCTGGGGATTGAACACCGACCTGCATGAAGCGAGACCGTCGCTCTACGGTCCAGCCGAAGTGGTTGGAGTATGCCCATGGAAGCTACCACTTATTAATACTCAACTAATCCTCATTTGGCTCCAACCACTTGGGCAGGACGGTAGAGCGACGGTCTCGCTTCATGCAGGTCGGCGTTCAATCCCCGACCGTCCAAGTAGTTGGGCGCCATTCCTTCCCTCCGTCCCATCCCAAATCCTTATCCTGACCCTTCCAAGTGCTATATAGTCGTAATGGCTTGGCGCTTTCCCCCTGATAAAACATTCATTCATTCCTCATTTGGCTTCGATGGTGACTGGAGTCTCTAAGAACACCACCCAAGTGCCACCAGTTTACACCCCTTACACCGTAGTCCAACGGATCCCTATCCCTGCCAATAAAGGATAGAATGGACGGTAACCATCAGGAGAATGCACTGTTAGTAGGAGTGTATATAACACTTAGAAGGGATAAGAGAGCAGGATAGGAACTGGGATGGGCGGACGGAGGGATGGAACGGTGTTTAAACGCTTGGAGAGTCGGGGATCGAACGCCGACTTGTCAGCAGCGAGGCCGTCGCTCTATCAACCGCTTCAAGTGGATGGACAGAAGGCATATAAATAAATCATTGTTTTATATTATATATATATATATATATATATATAATATATATATATATATATATATATATATATATATATATATATATATATATATATATATATATATATATATATATGTCGTACCTAGTAGCCAGAACGCACTTCTCAGCCTACTATGCGAGGCCCGATTTGCCTAATAAGCCAAGTTTTCCTGAAATAATATATTTTCTCTAATTTTTTTCTTATGAAATGATAAAGCTACCCATTTCATTATGCATGAGGTCAATTTTTTTTTATTGGAGTTAAAATTAAGGTAGATATATGACCGAACCTAACCAACCCTACCTAACCTAACCTAACCTATCTTTATAGGTTAGGTTAGGTTAGGTAGCCGAAAAAGTTAGGTTAGGTTAGGTAGGTTAGGTAGTCGAAAACACATTAATTCATGAAAACTTGGCTTATTAGGCAAATCGGGCCTTGCATAGTAGGCCGAGAAGTGCGTTCTGGCTACTAGGTACGACATATATATATATATATATATATATATATATATATATATATATATATATATATATATATATATATATATATATATATGGTGGTCGACACCCTTGTGGAGGGTGTCAAGCACTTCACCCACAACATCACACCCCACCACCACCCCCCTACCCCCACACCACACCACACCACCACACCACCACCACACCACCACACCACCACCCCCCTACCCCGACCCCCCCCCCCCCCCCCACCACCTCCCACCACCACAACACACCAACAATTACTCGTGCCAACAGCAGCTCCATAATAGCTATTACTCACTCGCAAAACGTTAAGAGTAATTATCCAAAGAAACAAAAACAAAACGTATAAGCTATGTAAATTAATCATCTTAAAATATTCATGTTAATTACACTAATAAAAACAAAAAATTATAATAATAATAAGAAGAAGAATACCTTTGATAAATAGCCATTTTGGCCTAATGTTTTCCCCTGATAATTACCTTACCTTACAACACATGAACTGATGACAGTACCGGCCCGGTCTCTCGATCTGCCACTGCGTCAAAAATGCAACTGTTTTGCCTAACCAGAAACGCACCAACCCAAGCAACCCACCTAACCGATCGAGGCCGGTGTATATATAGAAAACGTCAATGTCACAGTGCTTGAATTTTGGCTAATACGTCGCACTTTTTAACGTATTAATCTATTACGAATTGACAGGGGGCTACGTATTAGGTGAGAGGAGGCTTATATATAGGTCGCAACATACACTCAGCCACCCATCATAGCCAACTAGACCACAAATCCCATTGTTCTAATCTCCCCCCACCCGTTACCCTTTGACAGCCTTATCCAGCCCGCCCGCGTCAGCCCGCCCGCGCCAGCCCGCCCGCCGGTGCGTGAAATGTATGGGGGCAGAGCCAGCACACACCCAGTTTTTTCAGTGGGATCTCAGTACCTCTCTCCTGGGGTGTGTTGTGGCATCCGGCCCCGTGTTAGTCCTTCCTTCTGACCCCTGATGGCGTGGGTTTGCAGCCGGATATGGTGGGTTTCCAGCCGGATAGGGTGGGTTTCCAGCCGGATAGGGTGGGTTTCCAGCCGGATAGGGTGGGTGTGGAGCCGGAGGTCCAGTCGTGCCACAGGACCGGATGTAATCCACCCGTTGGTTCTTGCCCATTCTGCTCAAAATAACCTGTTCATGTGAGCGACGCTGGCTGCTCTTTGCCAAGGTTCAGCTTTTTCTCCATATGAATGTCATCGGGTCATCGCAGGGCTGTGGGAAGCGGAGATGAATGGTGTGTGTGGGCGTGGGCCGTCTGATGTGTGTGTGGGCGTGGGTATACTGCTGTGTGTGTGGGCGTGGGCTGTCTGCTGTGTGTGTGGGCGTGGGCTGTCTGATGTGTGTGTGGGCGTGGGTATACTGCTGTGTGTGTGGGCGTGGGCTGTCTGCTGTGTGTGTGGGCGTGGGCTGTCTGCTGTGTGTGTGGGCGTGGGTATACTGCTGTGTGTGTGGGCGTGGGCTGTCTGCTGTGTGTGTGGGCGAGAGTATACTGCTGTGTGTGTGGGCGAGAGTATACTGCTGTGTGTGTGGATCATGCCCGCATCACAAGAAAGGAGGCAAGCCTTGGAAAGAGGACACAGCAAGATCACACAACATCTATATCACACTACCGACGCGGCAAAGTGGAAGTGTTGCAGCTTTTTTCTATGCAACATGCAGTCAATGATTCGTTGCCTGAAAGGCTCGAAGTCCCCGCCGTCCCTCGTCCCGTCCCAAATCCTTATCCTGAACCCTTCCAAGTGCTTCATACAGTCGTAATGGCTTGGCACTTTTCCTATCCCATTAGCATTCGACGGGACCTATCCAATTAGCGCATTTAATCAAGTCTTCGTACCTGTATAGGACCTCCCCCGCTCCCTGAATCGAATTTACGATCACAACATGTTTGACTTCCCCTTCTTAATCTGATGGGATCCTATCTACTATATGGCTTTCATGCCTCAATTAATCTCACTTGTAATCAGTGGATGGGGGTTAATCAATCAGCATTGAGGTTAGGGGGTTTTGGTTGATCCATTCACACGATATCTTCGCTGCAGTCTTAATCAGTCTTAAGCCCCCTCCCCCCCCCCCTGCAAGTCTTGCCTTACAGAATGATGAATATATTTTTATTTAGACTTTGGATTCATCAAAGGTTTACGAGACCAAAACATCTTTTCTTGATCATGAGGGGGCTTTGTTTACCTTTATTTATTAGTTTATGAACTTTGTAGCCCTATACGAGGTTGTTTATGGTAATAACTACCTTGTTAGCCGCCCCTCTTCAGCCCTCGTAGCCCCCCCCCCCCTCCCTACTCTTCAGCCCTGGTAGTTCTTACTAGTAAAGATGAGAAGCCAGCTCCTACGTCGACATTACGTTCCTTTAATTTCTACTAACGCAAGAAGGTTTAACGTAACCGATCGACTCCGTACAAAATACAACTGTTTAACCTAACCAGACACGCACCAACCCAATCAACCCACCTAACCTATCGAAGGCCGATGGGCAGACAACGTCAATATTGCAGCGCTTTCACTCTTCACTAACGCATCCGAATTTTTAACGGACAGTGTCGATTCCGTTAAAAATGCGACGATAAGAGCGGACAGGATGATTCTTAATGATCAAATTGATCCCCATTCTGACAATTAATCATCTTGATTTGACCAAACAATTAGGACGAAACACGGAACGAGGCGATTTGTGCGAGTCAATCCATCCAACAGCCAGTAAAGATGGATGGTATCTAACATCCATCCGTGGATATGGATCCACGTATAACCCCCTACCCCCTCCCCCCTGCCCACCCCCCTCCCCAGTTAGACCAACTTGGCTGTTGCTTGTAGCGGGCCGCACGACCCCAATCATCACAACCTGATTGGTCCGGTGCTTCTTAGACATGGGTAAGTCTGAGTGTTTCTTAAGCATGTCTGAGGTCGGTATTGATTCATTCAGAGAGATCATGCGCAAAGGGGGGGGGGGTCCATGATTCATGCAGAGATCATACACAAGGACTCAATGAATCATACAGAGATCATACACAAGGGCTCAATGAATCATACAGAGATCATACGCAAGGGCTCAATGAATCATACAGAGATCATACGCAAGGGCTCAATGAATCATACAGAGATCATACCCAAGGACTCAATAAATCATACAGAGATCATACCCAAGGACTCAATAAATCATACAGAGATCATACCCAAGGACTCAATGAATCATACAGAGATCATACACAAGGGCTCAATGAATCATACAGAGATCATACACAAGGGCTCAATGAATCATACAGAGATCATACACAAGGGCTCAATGAATCATACAGAGATCATACACAAGGGCTCAATGAATCATACAGAGATCATACACAAGGGCTCAATGAATCATACAGAGATCATACACAAGGGCTCAATGAATCATACAGAGATCATACACAAGGGCTCAATGAATCATACAGAGATCATACACAAGGGCTCAATGAATCATACAGAGATCATACGCAAGGGCTCAATGAATCATACAGAGATCATACACAAGGGCTCAATGAATCATACAGAGATCATACGCAAGGGCTCAATGAATCATACAGAGATCATACACAAGGGCTCAATGAATCATACAGAGATCATACGCAAGGGCTCAATGAATCATACAGAGATCATACACAAGGGCTCAATGAATCATACAGAGATCATACACAAGGGCTCAATGAATCATACAGAGATCATACACAAGGGCTCAATGAATCATACAGAGATCATACACAAGGACTCAATGAATCATACAGAGATCATACACAAGGGCTCAATGAATCATACAGAGATCATACCCAAGGACTCAATAAATCATACAGAGATCATACCCAAGGACTCAATGAATCATACAGAGATCATACCCAAGGACTCAATAAATCATACAGAGATCATACGCAAGGGCTCAATGAATCATACAGAGATCATACGCAAGGGCTCAATGAATCATACACCAACACAAACACGTAATTTTAGAATATTTTATTAACCAAAATTAGAATATATATTATATATCTATTCACCATTCAGCTGAGGTCCGAGGAACAGTGTTTTTTCCCACACCTGAACTACACCATTAGGTAAGAATAACAAATATTAATACTAGAATTAAAACCAGCATAAATAATAGATGCCAGCATTTTCGGGGGTCCAAGAGCCAGAGCCCGATTCTGCAGGCACAAATAGGTGAGTACACACATACACACACAATTCAGAGGTATGTCACTAGACTAGTTCTAGAACTAAGAGGGATGAGTTACGAGGAAAGGCTGTCTGAACTGCACCTCACATCGCTGGAAGACAGAAGAGCTCGGGAAGACATGATCACCTCATACAAAATTCTCAGAAGAATTGACACAGTAGATAAGGACGGATTATTCAACACGGGTGGTACACGCACAAGGGGACACAGGTGGAAGCTGAGTAACTAAATGAGCCACAGAGACATTAGAAAAAATTGTTTCAGTGTCAGAGTAGTTAACAAATGGAATGCATTAGGAAGTGATGTGGTGGAGGATGACTCCATACACAGTTTCAAATGTAGTTATGATAGAGCCCAATAGGCTCAGGAATCTGTACACCAGTTGATTGACAGTTGAGAGGCGGGACCAAAGAGCCAGAGCTCAACCCCCGCAAGTACAACTAGGTGAGTACACACACACACACACACACACACACACACACACACACACACACACACACACACACACGCACACACACATAGGGAGGGAGGGGAGGCCTCGCGACTGAGTGGATAGCGCTCGGGGGTCATAGTCCTAATGGACCGGGTTCGATCCCCGACGGAGGCGGAAACAAATGAGCAGGGTTTCTTTCACCCTGATGCCCCCCTGTTCATCTACAAGTAAACAGGTACCTGGGAGTTAGACAGCTGCTACGGGCTGCTTCCTGGGGATGTACTCACCTAATTGTACTTGCTGGGGTTGAGCTCTGGCTCTTTGGTACCGCCTCTCAACCGTCAATCAACATGTGTGTGTGTGTGTTAGACAGAAATATATGTACTAGACATAATAGAGGAAAAATAGATTGGTTAGTTGTTGTTTAAAATTCGCTACCTGGAACAAAAAGTTCAAAGTAGCACGGGCTATGGTGAGCCCGTCGATTGGTTAGAAAGGCGGGGTCTAAGAGCTAAGAGCTGCTAGGACCTGCTAGGACAGAGAGCCTCAGCCCGCTGGGAGTATAGAGCACCAAACTTGTATTTATGAGGGCTTAAATAGAGTGCAAATGTGGCCGCTCTAACGACGCTGGCTAATATAGCGGATGCCGCGCCCAGCGACCACTAGCACGAACCGGGTCCATGGCTGTATTGGGGACAGGTGTGGCGGGCAGGTGTGGAGGGCAGGTGTGGCGGGCAGGTGTGGAGTTCAAGTGTGGCGGGCAGGTGTGGCGGGCAGGTGTGGCGGGCAGGTGTGGAGTTCAAGTGTGGCGGGCAGGTGTGGCGGGCAGGTGTGGAGGGCAGGTGTGGCGGGCAGGTGTGGAGTTCAAGTGTGGAGGGCAGGTGTGGCGGGCAGGTGTGGCGGGCAGGTGTGGAGGGCAGGTGTGGCGGGCAGGTGTGGAGGGCAGGTGTGGCGGGCAGGTGTGGCGGGCAGGTGTGGCGGGCAGGTGTGGCGGGCAGGTGTGGCGGGACAGGTGTGGAGGGCAGGTGTGGAAGGCAAGAGTGAAAGAGCAAGTGTATACTAAAGAATAATAGAATAGCAAGAGTATGTAAAACAGAAAACGCGATTATCTATCACCAATAACTTTATTTCCATCGCCAACTGATGGAACCCACGTGTCTAGCCTGATGGAACCCCCGTGTCTAGCCTGATGGAACCCACGTGTCTAGCCTGATGGAACCCCCGTGTCTAGCCTGATGGAACCCACGTGTCTAGCCTGATGGAACCCACGTGTCTAGTCTGATGGAACCCACGTGTCTAGCCTGATGGAACCCACGTGTCTAGCCTGATGGAACCCACGTGTCTAGCCTGATGGAACCCACGTGTCTAGCCTGATGGAACCCCACGTGTCTAGCCTGATGGAACCCACGTGTCTAGCCTGATGGAACCCACGTGTCTAGCCTGATGGAACCCCACGTGTCTAGCCTGATGGAACCCACGTGTCTAGCCTGATGGAACCCACGTGTCTAGCCTGATGGAACCCACGTGTCTAGCCTGATGGAACCCACGTGTCTAGCCTGATGGAACCCCACGTGTCTAGCCTGATGGAACCCCACGTGTCTAGCCTGATGGAACCCACGTGTCTAGCCTGATGGAACCCACGTGTCTAGTCTGATGGAACCCACGTGTCTAGTCTGATGGAACCCACGTGTCTAGCCTGATGGAACCCACGTGTCTAGCCTGATGGAACCCACGTGTCTAGCCTGATGGAACCCACGTGTCTAGCCTGATGGAACCCACGTGTCTAGCCTGATGGAACCCACGTGTCTAGTCTGATGGAACCCACGTGTCTAGTCTGATGGAACCCACGTGTCTAGCCTGATGGAACCCACGTGTCTAGCCTGATGGAACCCTCGTGTCTAGCCTGATGGAACCCACGTGTCTAGCCTGATGGAACCCCACGTGTCTAGCCTGATGGAACCCACGTGTCTAGCCTGATGGAACCCCACGTGTCTAGCCTGATGGAACCCACGTGTCTAGCCTGATGGAACCCACGTGTCTAGCCTGATGGAACCCACGTGTCTAGCCTGATGGAACCCCACGTGTCTAGCCTGATGGAACCCACGTGTCTAGCCTGATGGAGCCACGTGTCTAGCCTGATGGAGCCACGTGTCTAGCCTGATGGACCCACGTGTCTAGCCTTATGGAACCCACGTGTCTAGCCTGATGGAGCCACGTGTCTAGCCTGATGGAGCCACGTGTTTAGCCTGATGGAACCACGTGTCTACCCTGATGGAACCACGTGTCTAGCCTGATGGAACCCACGTGTCTAGCCTGATGGAACCCACGTGTCTAGCCTGATGGAACCCCACGTGTCTAGCGTGATGGAACCCCCGTGTCTAGCCTGATGGAACCCCACGTGTCTAGCCTGATGGAACCCCCGTGTCTAGCCTGATGGAACCCCACGTGTCTAGCCTGATGGAACCCCACGTGTCTAGCCTGATGGAACCCCACGTGTCTAGCCTGATGGAACCCCACGTGTCTAGCCTGATGGAACCCCACGTGTCTAGCCTGATGGAACCCCACGTGTCTAGCCTGATGGAACCCACGTGTATAGCCTGATGGAACCCACGTGTCTAGCCTGATGGAACCCCACGTGTATAGCCTGATGGAACCCCACGTGTCTAGCCTGATGGAACCCACGTGTCTAGCCTGATGGAACCCACGTGTGTAGCCTGATGGAACCCCCGTGTCTAGCCTGATGGAACCCACGTGTCTAGCCTGATGGAACCCCACGTGTCTAGCCTGATGGAACCCACGTGTCTAGTCTGATGGAACCCACGTGTCTAGTCTGATGGAACCCACGTGTCTAGCCTGATGGAACCCACGTGTCTAGCCTGATGGAACCCACGTGTCTAGTCTGATGGAACCCACGTGTCTAGCCTGATGGAACCACGTGTCTAGTCTGATGGAACCCACGTGTCTAGCCTGATGGAGCCACGTGTCTAGCCTGATGGAGCCACGTGTCTAGCCTGATGGACCCACGTGTCTAGCCTTATGGAACCCACGTGTCTAGCCTGATGGAGCCACGTGTCTAGCCTGATGGAGCCACGTGTTTAGCCTGATGGAACCACGTGTCTAGCCTGATGGAACCACGTGTCTAGCCTGATGGAACCACGTGTCTAGCCTGATGGAACCACGTGTCTAGCCTGATGGAACCCACGTGTCTAGCCTGATGGAACCACGTGTCTAGCCTGATGGAACCCACGTGTCTAGCCTGATGGAACCACGTGTCTAGCCTGATGGAACCACGTGTCTAGCCGTCTCGAGGTAGGACTCATCCCAAGATAAACATCTCTACAGTCTAAGAATATTATTTAGTATAGTTAATATAGTGTGGCAGCCCGTCCTTAGGTTGGGCTCCTCCGTGTCGAGGTGGTCTACACAGTCCGCGTACACCCAACCTAAGCCCACTGTGTATTTCAAAATCCGCATTTTCTCATTAGTAAATTATATATTATTTTATATATTAGAACTTGGTGTCTCGTTAGTGGTAAATTAGGTCTGGGTAGGTGGTTATAGGTTGTTAATTATTTGTTTTGAAGAGGTCATGGAACTGGCCCTTATTCTGTGGTCATTCCATCCAGCGACTGACCCCCAGAAACACATGCATCAGTGCTATCATGCTGATCAATCGAATTAGGAATTGTCTTAAATCTGATCATTCGAATTGGGAATTGTCTTAAATCTGATCATTCGAATTAGGAATTGTTTTAAATTTTCTTAGCCGCTGAGTGGAATATACGAAGCTTAAGGACGGGTTGTCTGAAGAACGTTTTCTCTTGAACGTTTGTGCATTGTTTTATGAGGACGGGCTGCACGAAAGAACGTTTTTGGAAGCATGACAGTGCCAGACCACTATAGGGCCTTAAGGTAGGAACATCAGGCTTACGTTATTAGGTTCTAACATTTGCATGTTTAGTGTTATGTGACCATTACCAGCGGAGGAAGGTCAACAATCAGTTTCTCCTGACTGCCTCTCACGGGTCGTGTGCGGGTTGGTTCTGTAAACAGTTCGAATATGGCCAATTAAATGCTTGTTGAACTAAACGAGGCAGAATCGTGCGTTGACATCGAGAGATTAAGTCGTTGGTTTAATCTTCCATCCCTTCAATTATTTTAAAGAGTATCGAACGGTGATTGTCGAAATAATTCCTTAAAAAAAGAGTTAGTGGAGAAAATCTGAAATGAGGTGGATATATATAGCTTTCAACAGCGGTCTTTGTGAGTCCTTGTATCAGGCTCCCTCTCCCTTCCTTCCCTCTCTCCCTCCCTCTTCTCCCTTCCCATGACCTCAGCCTCCGCCAATTCCTCC